CTTTCGATCGTCCGTGGTTACGCGTAAAATGAATAACCGTTTCGCGTCTTGTACCAGCGCGATTCGCGTCGATTTGTCCACGTTGTGCAACTTTGCTGATTCTTGCAAGAATCCGCGAATAAAAAGAAAGGACCGTTGACGATAAAATCTAATTGCCACGTTATCCTCGCTTCTAGCCATATATGCGCAGTTATTAAGGTTAAAACCTATTAAACAGATATATAGATATATAAATTTGAAAGGCAGAGGGAGCAACGTCTATTTTCAATGTTTTTATCGGTTCGCGTCGGATAAGGTTAAAGATTGGCGCGTTGATCAAAAAGAGGTTATATCTACGTTTCGTTGGAACGAAGCAACGTATGATTTCGCTTTTACTACGGCTAAAAATACACGGTCTCTTGCTACTGTATATGAATGCGTAGAAGAAACAACTATCTGAGTAGCGATAATGTTCGAACGTTTCTCGTTTTCATAATAATTGAAACGGATACTTTCCGATATTCCAATATTCTACGGTTGCGGTACAGTATTCTACGACTCGAAACAAACGAATGCAGCGATACGTATAAAACGATGATTTTTTCCCTGCCATCTCGCTTATACCCAATAAAACGCCAAACTTCGTATTATATAAAGGATATTTTATTTATTTATCGTCACGCGCAGATCATTTTCAATTCGTTCGATTCGAACGAGCCGTTCTGACGTACCGGATGACAGATAATAAACCAATGTAACACGGTTCGACGCATCTTTCTCCTTTAACGTTATATCGACAAATGTTGAATTGACGCCGACAGCCTATCTAACGCAGTTGAATTTACGGAATTTTATTTCTTCGCTGGTAAACGAATACCGATTTTTTTCTGTCTCGCTCTATAACGTCGTACGACTTGAGATCTACGCAAGTGCATAGTCATTTTACCAAATCTGCCCATTATTCTGCCATCGTATTTTACTACCGTGTCGTATCGACGATAAGTTGTCTCTACTTGTATCGCAACTTATCGATATCTAATTTACAAATCAAAGTAACGTATAGTTCTTATATAGAAGAAACCCAGGTCCTAGGGTCTAGATCCTAGATACTAGATCCTAGATTCTAGATTAATAAGCAGGATAAAAATAGAATTAAAAAAAGATGTTTGATGGAAGAGAAAATCAGTCGTCGGTTTCCTCTTTCGTCGCTTTACCGTACCTATTATCGCGACTTGTCTAGAGTTGCTGCTTACGGAAGACGAAGAACCGTGTTTCGAACGTGATTACAGAAAGTCAAAAATCGTGATATTCGGTTGGATCTATTTGCATTCTTCTCGAAAGCGACGCGAAGGTCAGCGAGAACGAGTTGCAGGCAAAACTGGAAGTTGTTAAATCGAATAAATTGAACGACGGACCAGCGCTACAAGTATCGTTCTATAAACTCGGACTTTACGGTATCCGTTGAGAAAAGTAACGACAAATTTGATCGACGTAGCTGTTAAAATTAATGTTAACGCTACAAAGGACGATAATTTATCCGCATATTTGCAAGAAACGTCGAATACGTGTTCCTTTCGCTTTAATATTATATCGGCGTTCACGGACAATAGATCGATGTGTTCGAACGTCTTTGCCGTGTTTCTGCGAAGAAACACATTTTTTTTAACCTTCCGAGAAAATCTTTATGCATAAAATCGGAATACGAAAGCATACGTTTCTTTTAGCGTAAAAGTAAACGATCGTTGCGTTTCATATTTAACATTTTCTTCCTCGGACACTCGTGCAAATTCGTATCCTTGTAAACGTAACTAAAAGATAGAATTTAAACGGATATCTGTGCCTGTCTACCAACCGTCGTACCATATATAGTCGACACGAACCTTATTAAAAGATAAAATGACAATAGTAGGATAACGATAACGATAATAGAAAATAAACGTATTAAATCAGGATGTTCGAGAAAAGTGTAGAAAGTCTCGTTTAATTGCGTTTAATGGAAAACGTTAAATGGAAATGAAACGAAAATTGGTAAATTTTAACTGGTGGCGATGATCTCTTGATCGTAGACTGCGGTAACCTGTATTGTGGCTGAGGCTGTATTTTCGTTCAAGTAACGTATCATTGTAACGTTCCAGTTGTAAAACGCGGTTGTCGTTTTATTTTTGGTCGATAAGCACGAGATATTTTTCTAATCGAAACTAAACAGATATATGGAAATTTGTTAATATTTGCATCTTTGCATCTTCGAATATGGCAGAAACAGAGGAGAATCCGCAGTCTGGTAACGAGAGAGCGCGATATGCCAATGCAGAGTTAATTTCGTGGCTGTTAATAGCCGGTAAAACCTCCTTCTCCACGCTATTAAGATGTTGATCACGTCGCATGATCTCTAGCGGGTGAAAGTATCGGCGGCGATCGTGTTACAGTCGATTACTTGAATAATTTTCTTTCCGAGTTTCTGGGAATCGCGACAGGCGGTGGATTTCGTGAAAAGCAACTCGGCGGGAACGACGGGGCTTTTACTACCTTCCGTAAAAGGGATCGAAGGAGGTTACGAGTGTCTGCTAACCAGAGTCAGCCGAGAATTAATTAATCGCGACGAAATAAGCGGTTGCGAATAAACGTACCGTAATAATGGTGTTGCCGATGATTAAGGCCGACCCAGTCCGAAGCAAAGGTATGTAGAGAAAGTAGGAGTCCCCTCCTATCGAGATCGCAGATTATACTCCGTATACGCCTGTCGTTGTACCGCGCGATATCCAAGTATTCGTTTCTTTGTCTCTTCTTAATCTCTGGCTACAGCGGATAATACAGACCGGATAATAGAATATTTGTGCGCCTAGCAGATACTATGCAGACTGTACGAATTTTTTCTCAAATTGTGCGCAGCAAACGCGACGAAGGCTGTCTTCTCGTTAACACGCGCCGAAGCTGTCGTTATATCCAGAGTTTCTATTTCGTTGCTTCTTAAGCATAAATATAATCGTTTGGCGAGTAAAATTCGTTTCGTTTATTTGCTTCATTCGACCAGTAACTAGTGCATGCGCGCGCGAATTTACGACAAATTCCAGTCGAATGATTTATTCGTATCGAACGCTGCCAGTATCAACGGGTGGAGTACGCGATTGGGCTGGTTAGACGTTGACCTTGCTCGGCTGCTAACTGCAACGAGTACGTATTACGCGCTTCCGTCTGGTCGTTCGCGCGTCTCGGGCTCGACGATTTAGAAATACGCGAGCTCTCCGCGCGTCTCTGTCGTCTGTTCGACGTCCCTTTGATTTATCCGTGTCAGGTCAGCCACCTTTCTCCTGACGCGATTAATTAGCTGCCCTGCCGATTAGAATTTGCAACCACTAGGCTAAAAAACGTTTACGCAAGTTCACATTTGTTCAAACTGATTCTTGTAACCGAGCAAGTGGAAGCGAGGCGATTTGTTTCAACCACTGGATGTTTATACTTTGCTTTGGATATTTTCCGCGAGTGCAATAATAATCGCGTAATAATACGCGTATAAACGTATCCCTTGCGCCGTTGCATCTTTTCATTTACTAGGAACGAACGAACGAACGAACAAACGAACGAACAAACGAGCGAACGAACGTGCACAGTCTGCTAATAACGATAAATGGATATACGTCGCTTCGTACGTAGACGCGAACAGAGTGGGAAACCTTCTTCGTTGTACATAAAAAATGTTCGATACAAAACTCGCATCTACTCTTGTTTACGTTCGACGAAGAAAATCATGTTTCATAAGACAAGAATCGTCAATGGTATTTATCGTGCAAGGTGTGAAGCTTATGTATATCGATATTAGATAGAAAATTACGTAATTTGATCGAAGCTGTGACACGATGCGGCGACATATTTCAAAACGAGTAAAATGGCAAGTTGATTGTTATGATAAAAATAGTTTTTTTATACTAAGATTAATTAGGCGTCTGACGTTATTAGATGAAATGGCGAGGTATTCGTATCTATATTTAGATAGGACTGCTCGAACTAATCGGCATGTAATCTTCCTATCAGTTTCCAAGAACTTTTTTATCACGCTATTTATATAACTTACGACATTCTCTCGTTATATCTCTTTTATTAAATGTTAAATTTCAGCACGTTCGACGATCGACGATTTATCGGCGCGTTATGTGAAAACGCGATTCCTCGTTAATTATCCAAACTGGGTTTCATTACGTTTCGAAAGATTTCTTTCGCTGTCGTAGCTGACACCGACGATAATAGGCATTAATATCGAATATAGTATATAGTATCGAGGTGAATATCGTTTTCGTATTAATAGGAAATGCGTATACGTGCGTATATAGATGGCAAGAACGTGCCAAGAACGTGGATTCGTTTAACATGGATTCGAAGGAATAAGTGAAACGGAAAAAAAGATCGTCGTTAGTGAGTTCAAATTACGTATTAATTTACGCGGCTTTCACGCACGAAGAAACCACGTATTAATTAGCATAAGTCGTAAAACACCGCGTATTGGTATTTCCAGTCAGTCGATAAGTTCTTGGTCGAGCTGATCGTAGGAAATTGCGGGACGAAAAGCGAGAAACCATGGAAACGTAGGTAAGGTAAACGTTAACATTAACGCAAACCTAGCCTAGATAGAAGCTCGCCTCGCAGACATCGTATCGAGTGATCGGAGCGAGGCGAG